ATCCGGGGCCACTCTGAAGGCACACCCGCTGGGGCTCGTCCGAGGAGGTTCAGGGGGCAAATTGAGCAGTTGGTGGTAATCCCATCTTCCCTCTTCCCCTTCGGGGAGGGGTTCACCCCTCCCCCTACCCCCTCGACCTGGGTCTGGAGGGGGGGGGTGCGGCGGGTCGCTGGAGCGTCCAAGATGGCCCCGGCGCGAAATCCAAATTAGTTAATTGTGCTAAAAGGGTACTGACCACGTGTAAGCCTCCTGAGGCCCATGGAGCCCCCAAAAGGCCCCCAAGAGGCCCCCAGGAGACCCCCAAGACGCCCCAAGAGGCCCCCCAGAGGCACCCAAGACGCCCCAAGAGGCCTCGGCGAGAAAGCCAAACTCCTTGATGGTACGAAGGTGTTGGCCACATGTTGTCCTCCTGGGGACCGGACCCTAAGGACCCCCCCATCCTCCCCAAGATGGCCCCAAAGATGGCCCCAGAGGCTCCGAAGGGTGCCCCCAAAAGGCCCCCACGAGGCTCCCAAGAGACCCCCAAGAGACCCCAAGAGTCCACCCAGATACACCCAAGACGCGCCAAGAGACCCCTGAATCGCCGAGAGACCCCTAGACGCCCCAAGAGGACCCCAATAAACTCCCGAAGAAATCCGAAGAGACCCCGAGAGGCACCCAAGAGGCTGTCAGTCTTTCTACTCGCCCTCCTCCTCCTCCTCCTCCTCCTCCTCCTCCTCCTCCTCCTCCTCCTGCTCCTGCGCCTGCTCGTTTCCTGCTCCTCCCCCCCCTCCTCCTCCTCCTCCTCCTCCTCCTCCTCTCCTCCTCCTCCTCCTCCTCCTCCTCCTCCTCCTCCTCCACCTCCTTCTCCTTCTCCTTCTCCCTTCTCCTCTTCCTCCTCCTCCTCCTCCTCCTCCTCCTCCTCCTCCTCCTCCTCCCTCCTCCTCCTCCTCCTCCCTCTCCTCCTCTCATATTCCGCCTGTTCCTCCTCCTCCCTGGTCCCTTCGCACCCTCCCCTATCCTCCCCTCCTCCTGCGCCTCCTCCTCCTCTCCTCCTCCTCCTCCTCTCCTCCTCCTCCTCCTCCCCTCCTCCCCGCCTCCTCCTCCCCTCCTCCTCCTCCTCCTCCTCCTCCTCCTCCTCCTCCTCCTCCTCCTCCTCCCCCCCTTCTCCTCTTCGTGTTGTTGTTTTCGTCCTCCTCCTCCTCCTCCTCATCCTCCTCCTCCTCCTCCTCCTCCTCCTTCTCCTCATCCGCCTCCCCCTCCACCTCCTCCTCCTCCTCCTCCTCCTCCTCCTCCTCCTCCTCATCATCATCATCATCATCATCATCATCATCATCATCATCATCATCATCATCATCATCATCATCATCATCATCAATCATCATCATCATCATCATCATCATCATCATCATCATCATCATCATCATCATCATCATCATCATCATCCTCGTCCCGACCTCATCCTTCTCCTCCTTTCCTCCTCCTCCTCCTCCTCCTCCCCTCCTCCTCTTCCTCCTCCTCCTCCTCTTCCTCTTCCTCTTCCGCTCATTCCTCCCCCTGCATCGTCCCTCCTCCCGATCCACCTCTCCCTCCTGCCTCAGCCTCCTCCTCATCATCGTCCTCATCGTCATCATCCTCCTCCTGCTTCTCCTCCTCATCATTATCATCAGCATCAGCACCATCATCAGCATCCTCATCATCGTCATCATCAGCAGCATCATCATCAACATCATCATCCGCATAATTCCTCATCCTCCTCCTTCTCCTCCTTTTCCGCCTCCTCCTCGCCGTCTGTGTAGTAGTACTCTGCTTCGTATTGGAAGGATTCCCCACGTGCTTAGTATCAGCATGGTTCGCAGTACGTTGTATGCGTAGTCGTATGGATAGCATTAGTATTTTATGAGTCGTATGAGTAGTGTTACGCGTAGCAGTGGTAGTAGTATTAGTCGTAGCCGTAGTATCAGTAGTATCAGTAGTATTAGTATGATTAGTAACCTTAGTAGTATTAGTAGTATTAGTGGCAGTAGTAGTATTAGTAGTATTGGTAGTATTAGTAGTATGATGTGTCACAGCATTAGCTTTCTAAGTATTATTAGTATTCGTGGTGCTCGCTTCTTCGTATTACTAGTACGCGTTGTTGCTAGCACAAGTAATAATATCATTAATACGATTATGCGTATGCTGATTCGTCGTCGCCTTAGTCTTCTTGGCATAGGGACTATTCATAGGATCAGAACTACTCGTATTAGTACTCCTTCTTCTCCTCCTCCTCCTCCTCCTCCTCCTCCTCCTCTTCCTCCCCCTCCTCCACCTCGTCCTCCTCTCGCTCCTCCTCCGATTTCTCCTCCATCCTCCCGATCTTGAGGCACGACGTCTTACCCAACCTTTTATTACACTGCAGTCTACTCCACATCTCTGGCCAGAGCAACTCGTATGGACATCGTGTCTGGATGAGCTCGTGGGGTTACACGGTGCGTCTAGACTTTGCGTATATGCGTCTTTGGCGCGCGCAGCTCCCAGCTATGTAGGGATGACGATGACGTCGGTCTCCAACGTCGCCTCCCACATGCCGCTGAGTAGCGCCAATGCCCGCTGCCACTGCACGCCTTTCGCGCACGCGCTGATACCAGCGCTGCAGCTGATGACGTTGGGCTCGAACTTCGCTTCCCACATCTCGCTCAGCAGCGCCAGAGCCCGCTGCCATTGCTCGCCCTTCTGGCACGCGCTGGTCACAGCGTTGTAGCTGACTAGGGCGAACCCGTGGACTTCGTCCACGTCATCTTGGGCCAGTCTTGGCTCGAAAAGGCCGTCTTGGGCCTGTCTTCGCTCGAAATGGCGAGAAGGTGGAAATCTTTCAGAAACCATAGAAAAATCAATGATTCCGTTTGCCGCGGCTCGTCTGGAGCTTCTTCGAGCGGTCTTGGGCCGTCTCGGAGGCCCTCTTGGACCGCTTCCTTCTCTTCGTCCGCCTTCCGCTCTACCTCCGCCTAGACAGCCTTCGGAGCGTCACAGACGGCTATGGTGGGTCTGCGGTATACGTCTCGCCGCTTGCCAATTTTGAAAACACCTGGGGCCTTGGAAAAGTCACCCGGAGGGCTCTGTTGACTTTTTTCCGGCTGCCTCTTCGAAGCCTGATGGCGGGCGCTGCCGTCTCCTTGGGAACGGTTAGTGGGCCTCTCGGGGGTTCTTTCCGAGCTCCTGGGGGCCTGCTGGGGCCTCGTTGGCTGTCTTGCGGCCTCCAAGGGGCCTCTTGAGGCCCTCTTGGGCCGTCTTGCGGCCTCCTGGGGGCCCTTTCTCTTGAAGTTTTTTGGGGCGCCTCTGGGGCCGTTCCTGGGCTGTCCCCCCGAGCCTTTTCCGGGGGACAGCCCAGGAAATCTATTGTGCTTGCGTGCTGTGCGTGCGTGCTCCTGCGTGAGAGGTCGGAAAAGTGTCCCGACGTCACCGCTCGCTCTTGGGAGCTGTGCCTGGGAGAGCTCTCTACGCTGCGTCTCGCTCTTGGGAGCCTTGGTGAGAAGAGCTTTGTACTTCACCGATCGCTCTTGTAGTAGGCGTCTCTGGGCCTGCTTGGTGGTCCTTGTGGGGGTCTTTTTCGGGCAATTCTGATGCTTTTTTGGGCTGCTCTGGGAGCGTTTTGGGACGTTTTGGGGCCTTGTTGGGCCGTCACGGGGCGTCCGGGAGGCCTTGGACCGTCTTGGAGCTAGGCCGTCTTGGGAGCCTCTTGGGGCCCACTCGGAGCTCGCTTGGGGCCGTCTTGGGGTTCTGTGAGGCCGTTTCAGGGCTTTCTGGCGTCGTCTTGGGGCTCTTGTGGGCCGTCTTGGAGCCCTCTTGGGGGCCGCTGGCGTCTTCTTGGAGCGATTTGGGAGGCCTGTCCTGGGCCGCTGTGGAGCACACAAGGGCATGCTGAAAATATACGCTTTCCCATAGGGATTTGACGATTTGTGCCTCTTTGGCGTGCGCTCGGGGCCCTCTTGGGGCGTCTTTGCGGCCTCTTGGATTGTCGTGGAGCCCCCCCCCCGAAGGCTTCGGGCCGTCGTGGGCTGTCTCCGGACCCACTGAGGCCAGCTTGGAGCGCTCTTGGACGGTCTGGGACCCCTCTGGAGCGCCTCTGGGACCGGCCTGAGCGATTCGGCCCCATGGTGGCGCCGTAAAGAAGCGAGTTTGTGCATTCTGAACCTTTTTGGGGCTGCTCTGGGAGCGTTTTGGGACGTTTGGGGGCCTTTTTTGGGCCGTCACGGTGCATCCTCTGGAGGCCTTGGACAGTCTTGGAGCTCTCTGGAGGCTGCCTGAGGCCGTCTTGGGAGCCTCTTGGGGCCCACTCGGAGCTCGCTTGGGGCCGTCGTGGGGTTCTGTGAGGCCGTTTCAGGGCTCTCTGGCGTCGTCTTGGGGCTCTTGTGGGCCGTCTTGGAGCCCTCTTGGGGGCCGCTGGCGTCTTCTTGGGGCGATTTGGGAGGCCTCTTGGCGTGTCCTGGGCCGCTGAGGAGCACACAAGGCGGGCATGCTGAAAATATACGCTTTCCCATAGGAATTTGACGATTTGTGCCTCTTTGGCGTGCGCTCGGGGCCCTCTTGGGGCGTCTTTGCGGCCTCTTGGATCGTCGTGGAGCCCCCCCTGGGAAGGCTTCGGGCCCTCGTGGGCCGTCTCGGAACCCACTGAGGCCGTCTTGGAGCGCTCTTGGACGGTCTGGCAACCCCTCTGGAGCGCCTCTGGGACCTGCCTGAGCGATTCGGCCCCATGGTGGCACACGAGGCGATTTTGTGCACACGAGGCCCTGTGAACCCTTCTCGCACGCAGATCCAGTGGCCATGTAGGAGAGATGACGAGCGCGCACCTGGGGGGCAAATCCACAGGCGGCGTGACCAGCTATATGTTTTGGCTCGGCCGAATGCTGGCACATGGACCCGCTGGGGCATCTTGCGGTCTGTCGTGTGGGGTGCATGGCTGTGTGAGGGGGGGTCCTGAGGTCCCATGAGGTCTATACAGCGTGGTGCAGGGCCTCGTGGACTGCCTGCGAAACTCCCCGCGGACGTCGAACACGCGTTGCTGATTGCTGCTGTTGGTTGCTGTTGGTGTTGCTGGTTGCTGCTTCGTGTTGCTGATACCGATGATTGCTGATTTTGCTCGCCGCTGCTTGCTTCTTGCTTCTTCCTGTTTGTCGGCTGCAACTGGCCGCTGCTGCTGCTGGCTCTGCTTTCCTGCTGGGAAGCATCGGGACATGACTGGGCCCTCTTGGGGCATCGTGGGACGTCTCAGGGCGACGTGTAGCCTGGATCCGAGGTGGTGCACTCTGGGACTATCAGGGGAGCATATTTGTCAGTGCCTCTGCTGGCCTCTCTAAAAGCCTTCTCGGGCTCTCGTGGGGCCTGTTGGGGTGGGTGGGGCTCTCGGGGCTATGTTATGTTTGGGGCCATGGGGGGCATCGTAATGCCGTGCGGGGGAGTCTGGCGACCGCCTGGGTGGTTCTGGAGCTCTCCTGGGGCAGTCGTGGGCCGTCTTGGAGCCGTTTGGGTGGCATCGTGGAGGCCAGGGGCCTAATAGTGCCACGATCGGGAACTTTTGCTTAGCGTGTCGCGGCGGCGGCCACGGCGACACGCTATGCGCTGCAAGCGCATAGCGTGTCGCAGCGCCCCGCAGGGTGACACGCTGGGAAAGAATCGGGACGCTGACGCCCAGGGACCGAGACGTGAATAGCGTGGCGCGCCGAAGCGTGGTAGGCCAGAACCGACGGCGCGACACGCTGAGCCAAAGTTCCCGACCGCACCCTGGGGGCGCAGCTCAGGCGCATTGGACGCTCCCAGGGGCTCCTGTTGGCTTCTTGAGCTCTCTTGGAGGCCTTTGTGGGTCGCGCCCCGTCCCGGAAGCCGCGGACCGCGCCGCGTGTTGCCCTCGTGGGGACCTCACCGCTGCTGGCCTGGGGCCTCTTGCGGTCCGTGAGGGGGCCACGTGGGGGGCCGTCCCGTGCGCTGCCCAAGGCGCCGTACACCTCCCGGAAGCCTGAGGGGAAGGAGGAGGAGGAGGAGGAGGAGGAGGAGGAGGAGGAGGAGGAGGGGGAGGAGGAGGAGGAGGCGGAGGAAGAGGAGGGGAGGAGGAGGAGGAGGAGGAGGAGGAGGGGCAGGAGGAGGAGGCGGAGGAGCGCTTTCGGCCGACCCAGGCCACTGGCTGGAGACGCGGCGGGCGGCAGCCCCTCCCCCCCCAGCCCTGCCACGGCTGGCCCACTCGCCCGCGCTGCCTCCGGCACTGCGGCACGGATGGCTCGGGTGGCCCGCGGGGGATGTCCACGGCAGCCCGAGGAGCGAAGGAAAGACCCGCTCCGCGCGCGAGGTGCCACGGCGGCCTCACGCCGCGGCCTGCGCGGGCCGCCAGCGTGGCGCGCCGCACTGGCGAGGAGGGCGCCGACGCGCGGCCCCACGCGGGCCGTGTACGCGCCACGGTCGGCGCAGACGACCCCCTTTGGTTGCCGCGTCGCCCGGGCGGCGCTGCTGGTGACGCAGGCGTGCCTCCAGCGACCAGCCTCCGAGACCTCCCCGGGCACGCCACCTGGCACGTGCCCTTTTTTTTTGTGGCATCTTCGAGCCCAGTCAGAACAGGGCGCAGCCGGACTTGCACAGAGGAGGAAAGGAGGAGGAGGAGGAGGAGGAGGAGGAGGAGGAGGAGGAGGAGGAGGAGGAGGAGGAGAGGCGAGCTCAGCAGGCTCGCGCGGGCGTCACAGCGGACCGCTGATGACGCCGCCGGCGGTGGTGCCCTGGGCACGGCCCCCGACCAGTCCCTGGACACGTCCGCGGGCACGGCCCCTGGGCACCTCTCCCCCGGCGCGCACTGTCGGGAACGCCGAGCCCAGGCACGAGGGCGCTCTCCTGCCTGGCACGTGCCCCGGGCACGCCCCCCCCGACCAGTCCCTGGACACGTCCGCGGGCACGGCCCCGGGGCACCTCTCCCCCGGCGCGCACCGCCGGGGGAGCGCCGAGCCCAGGCACGGCGAGCCCCCGCCACAGAGCGGCTCCCTAGCCTAGAGCAAGGAACGGACCGAAAACACAACAAAACACAAAAAAACATATATAAATTAGCCTGGCGAAGGACCCAACCATATGCAGTTGTGAGTAATGCTGGTGTGAGTACCGTCTTCGGTGGATCTCCCTATGGGGCCACGAGCCGTTTGAGGGGTGTGCCGAAATGGGCGGTGGGGAGGCATGCGAACCCTGCCACTGGGGCCTTCGGTGGAGCTCCCTATGGGGCCACGAAACGTGTGAGCGGTGCACCGAAGCTGGTGTGGGGGCGGCATGCGAACGCAGCCACTGGGGCCTTCGATGGAGCTCCCTGTGGGGGCACGAAACGTGTGAGGGGTGTGCCGAAATTGGTGTAGGGGCGGCATGCGAACGCAGCCACTGGGGCCTTCGGTGGAGCTCCCGATGGTGCCACGAAACGTGTGAGGGGTGTGCCGAAATGGGTGTGGGGGCGCATGCGAACCCAGTCACTGGGGCCTTCAATGGAAATCCCCATGGGGCCACGAAACGTGTGAGGGATGTGCCGAAATGGGTGTTGGGGAGGCATACGAACCAGGCCACTGGGGCCTTCGGTGGAGCTCCCTATGGGGCCACGAAACGTGTGAGGGGTGTGCCGAAATGGGGGTGGGGAGGCATGCGGACCCTGCCACTGGGGCCTTCGGTGGAGCTCCCTA